ATAGATGTGATCCAAAAGGATGGGCGTCTGGCGGAGGAACATTGTTTTTTACATGCAAATGCATTAATAACATTGTCTTATTTCATTCTAAGAACAATCCAGACATAATACAGCAATGTAGTCTTACCTCAGCAACACTGCAGAGTCAGAAAGAAATGCCCCAACTGCAATATCTATAGGAACATGAAACAAATATAAAATATTTTCAAGTACTATTCACTAGCTGACTTTGTGCTTAATTGAAACGAATTAAGAATAATAGCTAACATGAATATAAACTGGTACTGACATATCCCATGTAATAGAATAAACCCAATAGTAAATCCGAATAATGTAACACTAGATCATTGTTATGAACTCTATTCAAGAGGGTCCTTCTTCTACCCCATAGTACCAACCTCAAATGCCCATGTCCCCATCATTGCCCCTTCTGCTGCCATATTGTGGTCAAGAAAGTAATCTAAACAGTGCACACTGCAGGAGGGTTTATATAAGCAGTTATATAAAAATGCAATTCCAGTGACCAGAGATCAGAGGAGTGTATATCCTATTCCTGAACCATAACTGGCCAGATTCCATCTACCTACTGCTCCCATTTTACTTTAGACTCCTCTATATCAAGGATGAATTAACTGTCTAACTTAGTAAACATTGCATTTCTAAGGTAACTTAGGGAATATTCCAAACATGAGCAAAGGTATAGCTCGCTATAAGCCAACAGGTTTTCCTACTGCAGAAGAAAAGACACTAAATGCAGTATGCAAAAATTGTAGGTAAAACTTTTTCTGCTACAAGAACCATTAGCAGCAATCTATTGCTGACACGTTAATGCTTTGCATTTGTTAAACAAAAATGCTCCTTGGCGCACACAGAGGAAGCTTGGGACAAAAGGAAGTGCCTAGCATTAGATGATAACACGGTACAATGGAAGAAAGTGGGCACAGCCATTCACAAATCTCAATTTATTGGAATTACCATCTTGTGTCATTCTTGGTGAATTATATATGAGGGAGAACCAAAAAGTAAAGGCAATTTATAATTTGCACTGTGACTGGAAAAGAGAGAAGCTTGCGCAATGCAGCCTATTTACATAGCCTGTTGGATAGTTCGATAATGCACAGTAGCGCTAAGACCGTAGTCAAGTGGTAGTCACGTGGACAGAAACATGGACGCTCCGTTACAAGACTGCACCATCAAAGAACAACAATGGATAACAGTGTCTCAGTTGGCTGCACATTTGGATATCGGCTATGGATCCGCATTTGTCATAGTGCATGATGACTTAGGAAGCAGGAAAGTCTGCACACGATGGGTTCTCAAACAGCTTACTGCTCTTCACAAGCAACAGCATGTTGTGACCCAGTTGAGAGGGTATAAAGGAGATCAGAGTATTCTGCAGAGAATTGTCACCGGCGACAAGACATGGGTGCACCACTATGACCCGGAGAGCAAAATGAAGGAGGCGCACCGGGGGCCACGCATGTACACCTCAGACAATGAAGTAAAGGAAGCTCTGCGCACCTGGCTTCAGAAGCAGCCAAAAAGCTTCTTCTCTGCAGGAATACAAGTGCATCATCATGCACAGGGACTATGTGGAAAAGTAATATGTTCAAGTGCTCACAGTTACTTCTATTAAAGTTGTTAAATGTATTTTGCCTTTACTTTTTGATTTCCCCTCGTATTTCAGTTCACTAAGAATATTTTCATCATTTGTTTTAATAACCTACCTTGATAACCATTTCCATCAGCATCTAGTCCCTGAGATATAGATTGGCCAAACATGCTCAAGTAATAGCCAAGTTTCTTCCCCTGTATTCTCTGTAAAAACAAATATGGACATTAGTCAGGCATATTCATAAACAATGAGGCTGACGACTGGAATTCTTAGTTTTGCTGCAGATGTACAGTAAATATGAAGGAAGACATAGTCAAAGGTTAGTTCCTACAGGGAATCTTACAGGAAAGAGATAAGACAGCTTGGAAAAATGTACATCGAGCCATTCATAGTACCAATTATCTGCAAAATCTAGTCATAACACACAACCTTTGTAAATATTTTTAAAGACATTTATATCTATGTGTTAGATATCATATTTATGTGTAGGGGGTGTAATATGAACGCGCAATGGTCGTCATGATTAGTACACAGCCAGCTCTGCTAATATTGTCATAACAGAAGTGTTCATTAAATTCTATTTCTTTTTATTTGCAGATAAGTATTTGAATAATAATGCATAATGCATCCAATTATACAACAGTATATTTCAAACTGTCACTTTAATAGTAAATGCTGAGGGTGGAATAGCTACAGCTGTGAAAATCACAACACATTTTGCAGCCTGTTTAAAGTAAACCTGTCACGAGAGAAACATTGGATGCTACTGCTAACTTCCAGCAATCTGAAGCTCTTTCTTCAATCCCTGATTACTGATCAACAGAACAATCAGTCGTGGTACCTGATCTGCATTTTTGTTCTAGGCCAGCCATTTAAATAATTCTAAAACCAGAACATAAACATAACAGCTAGGACAGCAAAGTCAGAAGGTGGTGAGTAATAGCAGCCCCCATAACCCTCTTCTGACATTTCCTTAGGACAGTGCAAAGAACAATGATGATGTTCAGAGTCAAGTAACCCATATCCAATGCATGTCACCTTTCATCAATTTTGAGAAATAAAAACAAATAAAGCATGAAGGGATGAAGGAGTTAACATGGCTCTTTATGGCTGTACACTGCCTAAATCATCGTATTTCTATGATGGGTGCGACCTTGTGTTTCCAATTAGCCGTGGCCACTCGGCCTGTACAGATCAATGACAGGCTGAGACTCTCCATCTGTCTGCATGCAATCAAACATGGAACAAATTCCTGCTGTTATAAACAGATGAGTAGCCCTGGACGCAAACAGTCTGCGTAAAGGGACGCTTATCTGTTGTTGTATGTAATCGCTCCTTGAGCGACTGCATGCAAACAGCCACAGACAGTGTCAGTGTCAGTCTGTCATTTGTTTGTACCCAAAGCTGATTGTACACCCACCCCTGAAATACACTAATCTGGGTTGTGTACAGTCATGAACAGCCATGTGAATAAGGCCCTAATAGAAAAATAAAAACATGTAAAAGATGGATTTTGATTGCATTATAAACAAAACCTTTGTACTTGTATATTTTGACAGCAGAATAGAATATTAAAAAAATAAATAAGCCTATTAAAAGATGAAATAAAAAAGCTGCTTTTGCTGTGATACTCGCCATTAATTCAGAGTTCTCCCCACAGTAATTATCTACCGCTAGTTATTTTCAGTCTTCTGGGTTAAATGACAGTCAGCAACATTCAACTCACTTTCTATATACCCCGGCTGTCTTGGACCCGCCCCCAGCTTGTGACTAGACAGTGATGAGCTGATGTCTCTGTCACTCTGCTTTTTTCATCTATCTGCATTTTTGTCAGCACAAGACATGAACTAACTGGTTCATTGTGCTGCTTGTTCCTCAGCTATACTGAACACTGTTGTACAGGGACTGAGTAAAATCCAGGTACATACACTGCTTGCATTAAAGAAGAAGATTCCATGATGCATTGATTTAGGAAAAAAGATCAGACATCATAGGTCATTATAATCTCTTAATGCAAAGGACATAAACAAGCTCAAAGTGAAATCTGCTGCGTACTTAAAGCCTGCAGATGAAAAATTGCTGTTGATACAACAAATACAGGCACTTACTTGTAGATACATGTTAATCATGAGGCCCCCTATTCATGATGACTTTTATGACTTTTGATATATATAAAAAGTATAAATATAATAAATGTTTAGATTGTAAGCCCTCAGGGGCAGGGCCCTCCTTACCATCTTGCCTTGAATTCTATTATGATTGTAATGTCTTATATTGTAAAGTGCTGTGCAAACTGTTGGCGCTATATAAATCCTGTATAGTAATAATAATAATAATAATATAGGAGTAAATAAGATACCTGTGTGAATGTACGTGTGATTCCTTTTTCTCGTCCATTATAAATATATATTGCTCCTAGCAAATTTTCCTCATGGGGTGCTCCAATAGCAACATCTGTTTAAATAAAAGCATATTGTTGTACAGTAAATAAAAACATCACTCACCAAAACAATGTCAGAAACGCTAGGACAGAATAAATAATTGAAGCCTGGTAAGCAATGATTCTAAAGTGTAACACAGAAAAATGGCAGCTGCATCCCAAGTGTTTGGGACCACTTAGTTCTGGAAACATGCAGGTACACAGATCCTTACATACGATATACTGGATCCCACATTGGGTTTACTGACATCTGAACTACAAATTATTTTGTATAACACTGATAACAACATTATGTGAAAGGATATCTGTAAAAAAAATGCTTGAACCATTTTTAATTTCAGTTCTACTATGGTGTTATAAACTCTGCCCCAAGTTCGTTAATGGTATTCTATAGTAATAATGAGGCTTTAACTGCTTATAAATGAGTGGTATGAAATAGCTAAACAGGAAAGAATAGCAATTTGAACATGTAATGCTGGGATTAAACACAAGGTGGCAGTGGAGCCCACCATCCGTTTTATTAAATGCAACTATTTCCTCAAATTAACCATTTATTATTGTAAATATATTACAATAAAGTGTTACAATGTTTTACTTACACAATACTTATTTATGCTGCTGTTATAATAAAAATATTATAAATGTTTTCAACATAATGCTACAACTCAATAGCTGTGTTCTATGTTTATGTATAATACATTTATACACAACCATATTATCTGGATAGTTGGAGATGTCTATGAATGACAAAAAACAGAAACCAAGATTTCATACATTCACAACCAACCATGATGTATGAAGTAAGTTGGATAACCAAAAAATTAAGATAAACAAGGGTAAGATGATATTACTGGACAATTTCACTGTTCCTGAAGAATATTAGGAAATTTAATGTATTAATGCTTGACTGGCTCACAAAGCTGGCACTCCACTCTCAGCCTGATTTCGGGTGCATTGTGCCAAATGAATAGCTTCAATTGCTCTTGCTCCTTTAAGTCACTGACCATGAACAATTATGCCAATTGGGGGCTTCAGAGTTTTCTGATCTGGATATTATTATTATTATTACATAGTATTTATATAGTGCCAACAGTTTGCGCAGCGCTTTACAATATAAGGAAGACATTACAGTTACAATACAATTCAAGACAAGATGGTAAGGAGGGCCCTGCCCCTGAGGGCTTACAATCTAAAAGAGGAGGGGGAAATGATACATGAGGTAGCTGTGGGAATGAATTATGTGAGAATGTGAAGGTTCAGTGGTTAGGTTGCGGTGGGATAGGCTTCCCTGAAGAGATGAGTCTTTAGGGAACGCCTAAAGGCAGTCAAGGTGGGAGATAGACGGACAGGTTGGGGTAAAGAGTTCCAGAGGATGGGAGAGACTCTAGAGAAGTCCTGGAGGCGAGTATGGGAGGAGTGGACAAGGGAGCTGGAAAGCAGGATGTCAATGGATGAGCGGAGGGGACGGTTAGGGTGATACTTTGAGACAAGGTCTGAGATATATCCGGGGGCGGAGTTGTGGATGGCTTTATAGGTGACTGTTAATATTTTGAATTTTATCCTCTGGGCGAGTGGAAGCCAGTGGAGGGATTGGCAGAGGGGGGATGCAGACACTGAGCGGTTGGTAAGGTGAATGAGTCTGGCAGCTGCATTCATGATAGACTGAAGGGGGGATATTCTGTGTAGTGGAAGGTCAATGAGGAGGGAGTTACAATAGTCAAGACGAGATATAACAAGTGAGTGGATGAGTAGTTCTGTGGTGTCATTGGTGAGGAAGGGGCGTATTTTTGAGATGTTACGAAGGTTGGTGACTCAAAGCATTAAAACCAGATGGTCAGCACTCAGTACAACAACCAAGTAACTAGCTTTTTTCAGAAGGTTGTCAATTTAACCATCTTACAGGTAGACTGGTAAGTAGGTAGTATACATTTTCTTTCAAAATACATGGAAGATTTCTGTAAATGCTCAAATAGAGTTTTTATATTAATGCCTGGTGGTGAACTCATCAGTACAAATAGTTTGTACATTTATGTATATGTATAGCGATCAATAGCTCCAAATTCTCCTTTGCCTGTACAATACTATAATAAATCTGCCGTAGAATCTCACATTGCTTTTTTTTAGAATTACATTGCTGTGCAACAGAATTGATACATGCTCCCATATTGATTGGTAAGTATCTTATGCCACATGTTAGTCTCTGGTGTGTAGTCTTAGGCCTTGTTCACACCAAATGCAGAGCAGATCCGGTCAGGTTTCTGCACACGCACGCTAGTCTTTTAGATGCGTTTTTGATGCGTTTTGACGCGTTTTTGGCCAATTTAACATGGGCTTTCAGTGCGTTCCAGGCATTTGCATGCGTTTTTGATGCGTTTGTAGATCCAGAGCAGGTAAAATAGGGCTTGCTGCAATTTTTTTACCTGCTCTGGACCTGCTCTAGATCTGCACGCTGCGATGTGAACTGGAGCTAAAAATACCATAGGAATACATTGGACGCAGTTTTGATCTGGTCTGCACCTGCTCTGCTCTGCTCCGCGCTTGGTGTGAACTAGCCCTTACCAGACAGTGACTGACTGAGTGATCTGGCAGGAGGGACTCATTTTAGCTCCTGTGGACTGCTCAGTCCCAATCAGCAAAATATAAAAAAAAATTGGTAAACCTTCTATACTTATTCTGTGATATATTTTGCCAATCTGGCAGAAATGACATTTGTGAAATTTGTCAGAAGTACTGATGTGAGTAATAGCATTCGTGGACTGGTTTGGGTTCCCATATGTTTGTTAAACTGGACAGATAAGTACAGCATTTCCTGTCCCATTTTCATTTAAACATTTGACACTTGTCCTGGTATTTTTTTGCCCAGCTCTGCAATGCAAATTAGTCTGGGTTCCCAATCTTAATAAAAAATGTTTATCCTGTCCAGTCATGATTGATATGGTAACCTAAATAGTAATGTAAAACCTAAATGTTTTCTCTAAATAGTGAACCTTTCAGTCCAACTAAAATGTGTTTTCTTACAGCAGACTAATAAAATATCTGCACCCCCAACATGATCAGGAATTATTCACATGGCTGTGGTAAAATTTGCCATCTGTTATCACTGCTGCTGCTCTGAAGTACTGAAACTGATTGTGGTAAAAGCAAAGCGACTTTTCAAAACTTTGCCAAGTTCATATTTTTAAAAAGGGGTTCATATGCAAACATCTAGAATGCATGTTATGAAGATTGAGAATGTATGAGACTAAAAATGAATACGTCTTTTTCCCTTTCTAAGGAGTGGTAAAATTTATGATCGGAATATGCAGTGTACTCGATTAAGAAGACTGGGACAAACCAGAACTGGTTCATATAGCAACCAATTGGGTTTTATATTTGAAACAAAACAATGCTATGAGCCATACCCTCACATTCATGTAAGCGTTCATAAATAAGCCTCAGTGACTACATGATTAGTGTTTCTTTGAGGGCTAAGTAGAAGCCAAGCAGTAATTGTATAGTTTAAAATACAGTTCATTCTGTGAGAATACATTTACTAGTGCCAATGTGCCTCTTTCATGTACAGTACATCTGTAGAAATGTAAATGTCTGTTCCTGTCTTTGGCTACACTCCTCACCATGTCTCATTTCATTCGTTCTAAAGAATTAATGAAAAAATAACTCTCAAAATGTGCTACCATTTTCTTTCTTTGTGCTGTCAGCTAACATAATGTAGTGGATGGGGCAGTAGATTGCATGGACCCAGACTTTTTCGTATCTCAAACCCTGGATTGTATTACTTTTGCATTACATCTGCTAAACAAGTGTGACACCATCATTTGGCTTTGTAATGGCCATGATATTTGAACAGAAAGAGTAATTTCAGAAGTGGATCTCTCATCACTGGGGTCCCAAAGAGATAATAGGCAACCACACCAAATGGAAATATCAGGCTTCGGATAGAGCTGAAACATGTCACAAACCTAAGCAAAGCTATTTTTTCAATTTCAGATTCATGTTCATTTTACATCCTATTCAAATCCTCTACATAAAACTAGATCCATTACAAAACTCTATCTGGTGGAAAACTGGAAATGTATCTCCCCACTTGATTTATTGACCACTGCAATTACCCTTTGCATTCAAGCAGTAACCTCCCAAACAACCCTAGCATTCCAATAATAAAACCATGAAATCTGATGTATATTATTATTAACCGGTGGTACATTTCTGACCACGACCCCTAAAGCAGTTGCTCAAATGTTATTAATATTACTAGAATTCTTCCATTTCCATCCCACTCTTGGTTAAAAGGCAAGAACACAATTCTCTCAGGTGTTAAAGATATGGCTCCCCACCCAACCACTAGCCAAAACTACAACTCTATTCCAAAGCTTTTTCATTATTTTGCAGTTAAATAGTGGAATATAGACCATAGCTGTCCCCCTTCCACTTGGAATATTTTGCAGTGGATATGAAAGCCCTAGCCATCAGTTCCAAATAAACTTATTTAGGATCAATTCTCAAGTTTATCTTATACTCCCTTTTATATCCTTCCCCACCCACATTGGCTACAGTGGGAAAACTACTCCTATGTGTTTTTTTTTTTATAGAGTTCCCTTGGGGTTTAGCAATGGCTAGTAACTCAAAAAAGGCTCATCAAGGGGAGTTTTTCCCCTAGTCCTTCCTTGCACAGGAGATTTTCCATTACTAAACTCAATTTACTTTGGTCATTCTTGCATTTGTAAAAACATAGAAACATAGAAGAGTGAAGGCAGAAATAGACCAAGCGGTCATTACAAAGCCAAATGATGGTATCATACCCAGTCTAAAGATGTAAGGTAAAATTATTTAGAACAAAAAGACTGAAGAATGCAAATGTGTTTCTGATGTTTCATGGCATCAGAAGGGGCGACTAAGAAAATCAGCCAATAAACCCATAGCTGCTCACCCTAAACTGTACTATCAGTTTTGGTGGCGTGGGCCTTTAATGTTGTCAACATCAAGGTCCATCTAAAACATCTAGACTTTTTCTCTCTCGGAGGGATAATCAGGCATTTACAATGCAAATGGTCAACATAAATGTCTAAAATGTGAATGTGGTTTACCTCTTTGAATGGTAAATGCAGCGGAGAAGCCTGCTAGACAATGCTGGAGGTGGTGGGAGGGACTGTGCAGTTTTTACACAACTTCCCTAAGCTCCTGCAGATGGAGCAATGTGCTGTCAGCTAAATCGCTGTGAGCAGAGACAGGTGTGGCTATTCAAGGGCTACTACCAGAACAAACATCTAAAGCTGGCCATACAGTGTTCTATTTTTTTTGTTCCGCCCATGGGTTGAACCAAAAAAATAGAACAGATTCCTCCATCAATTGAGTGTTGATCAAGGATTCCCTGGTCTTTCTTTGTATTCTGACAATGGTCACCGGCCACTGTCAGAATGCCCGAACAGAGCTGACAGCTATTGTGTAAATTGTGTGAATTTTACGTGTATTTTGCAAATGTATGGCCAGCATTAACAGCAGCAGCAATAAGGGGGTCAAAGCCACATTGATTTCCTGCAGAAGGAAGAGTGTTGCCACCCTATCAAAGGAAATGTCTATTCAATGATTTTACTGGTAGAATCAACATGTATTTACAAAAAGTTTCAACAGAGACCACTTACTGGTATGGGAAGCCTATGTCATGTATGTGGTTTTATAGTTTGACCACAGTTCTATTTTAAACAGCTTCTACTTAAGAGGAGTACAGTGGTGACACTTTAATAAATGCAATGAAGAGTAAAGATGAGAACATTCCTAAAAGATGGTCGACGCTCAGTCCACAAAATCCCAATGTCTTAGTGAACAAAATATTCTGTTTTTCGAAAATATCATCATAGTATTTTGTTAGCAACTTACCAAATGAATTTAGATTAATAAGCCAATAAGCCAACACTTGAAACCACTATGTCAACAGTATTCAGACGACAACGCACAAACAATACATACCCCGCCCTTTACTGAGAAACAGTCTTGGTTTTAGTTGACTGTAGATAATTAGTAAGTTATTATCTTTACATGTTTTGTGGGCTTCATGGGGCATTCTGCTTGAGTGTAATAACCACTTCTAGTGGTTATTTTTGTTTTGCTGAAAGGACAATCTTTAAGGACCAGTAAACCGAAAACAAAAAGTTACCTTAAGTAAAAAAAGGCCTAATTACAACATTCACAGATGCACATGTAAAAGGATGCGTAAACCAGAAATCCAGCCCCCAAAAAAGATAAAAAATGAATAGCCTGTTAAAACAAAAAATAACAAAACCGGCTTTTGCTTCACTATTCTCCTTCAATTCAGAGACTTACTTTCTTCCCTGCCAGTAACAACACTTCCCATTGCAAACTGACAATGTTAAGCCATTGCCTTAAAATTAGCCGAGGCACTGCCAGCCTGCAGTCTGAGCTCCTTCAATTGGACATTGTGCTGCATATCCTTAACTGGCAGTACGACATCCAACTGAAGGAGTGTGCATAGCAGGAAGATGTACTGAGATAAACATACTGCAAAATTGATTTTGCACTGTAGCTGAGACCAAAGCCACATTCCACTAGACAGGAACAAGTCCATGTAATAAAAACTGTTAAGGCCGTACACTGACTATTCCAAAAGCCGGTGTAGACTTAAGAATAACTGTACCAGCACATGGGTGGTTTGGATATCCCTGTCTGAAATAACTCAAAATGCTACATAACTACTTCATATCCATGTTCAATAAATAAAGGCTCACGGGCTAATCTAATCATTCATTTGAGATCAGCTTAGTGCTCAGTGTTAATGTTCCCCTCGTAGAGTAGTCATGACCCCATATAATGTAGCAATAATATAAGCAGTAATATACCTTCAAATCCATCAGTATCTAGGTCTCCTAGGTTAGTAATAGCTTCTCCAAACCTTGCTGCATATAGGTCACTTCCTGAAAGTTCATAATCCAGTTCTGTAATTCTCCCCTTAAAACCAAATGCAAGAAATATTTTGTTATAATATCAATGTGCTTTATTAAAAAAAATACTCACATATGCAAAAAAATTACACTGAATATCACAGAGAATGGAAAACATATTGGAACTGTAGTAGAGCTATATTTTACAAGAAATGTGAAGACAAAAACACTCCTTTGGAAAAGCACTACAAATTGAACAAGCAAAAAAGTTTAAACCTTGATGTGTAGACATTTGAAAAGGTGTTTACAGAATTCATGGGAACAAACACACTTAATGTGCAGCTTAAAAGGTGCGCCGTGTAAAACGTTATGTTATCTTATTTATGTCTTCCTTATCAAGACATGTGTTTTTTTAAAGGAGCCCTACATACATCAGTTGAGTCTTTGATGTTAGTCCTTAAAGAGTAACATTTGGCACAGTCAGATATTCTTCCCAGAGCAAAACATTATTTAATTTCTAATTCTCACCTATTCCATGTCCTATATATCTATCTATGTTTATAGTTGAATCAAGTTTATTGAGATATAAAGACAGAAAAAACATTGAACAAGTTGTGAGAAAAAGAATGAGTAATACAATGCAATCAGATCAGAGAATGAACAAGATGAAATAATTGACTACATGTATAGCGTAATAAGGAAATGCAGGGAACGTGCAGGGCCACCCAGTAGGTCTATATATAATCTGTAGATAAAAGTAGCAGAGAACATTAATCCTCAAAATATACCTGAAAGGATATGACTTCTAATAAAGTTTTGGTGCCAGTGTAGTAAACTCAGAAGTTCAGTGCACAGTCAATTTACCACAAACTTTCATCAACCTTAAGCCACACAGAGGAAGTGGCATGACTTTTTCTTCTCATTTTGGTTGGGTTTACAGTATTTGGTTAAAAAGGAGTAAGCACCATATAATCTGAACACAGCCAGAAGCAATTATTGTGAATGTACATCTAACATTCATGTCGATCATATCAAGCCATGTCCACTCAGATATGCAGTAGATTGGCACTGAACATTATATTGCACTATGAAAAGAACTATTTTTTATATAGCATGTTTTGAAGTGAACCTGGCCTGGCCTTTAAAAAATCCACAGTGTTGAATTGGAGGCACCACAACCCTGTGTTAGTCCCCTTGAAGCCTCATAAATCCTAGTTTTAGTCTGTGTACTATGCTTCTACCCCCTATGTGTTAACAATAAAGTAAAAAAAAAAAAATGTAGGTAACATAAAAAAATTAAAAATGCAAACAGATTTTTTTTAAAGCCTCCCACCCCCATGTACACGCGCATACAAACGAAGAAAATGCGTCGGATGCGTCTACGTGCAAAAATTAAAATTGCGGCACACATGTTACATATCATGGCAAACGTCAGAGTGCTAGCAAAAAATTATATGGCCATCAATCACTGTTAACACTAAACTGATGAGCAGTAAAAGCTTTTAAAGCATTGCCTATGGGAAATGTTGGATATTGTGGTATTTTGCGGTTTCACGGGTGCACACAATTATAAGACTTTACATGTTTGGTATCAATTTACCCGACATTACCCCATCTTTTATATTTTACTAAAAATGTGGGTATTATACTCTGTTTCTGTTTACTAAATGGAATTTTTATGCATTTTATCTTAAAGATACTGGTTTGATAAACATTTGCACAAATACCGTGTGACATAAAAAAGTTGCAACTAGCATATTTGTATTCTATAGGGCCTTTGCTTTCAGAAAATATATCATTGTTTGGGGGTTTGAAGCTGTTTTCTCGCCAAAAATTCAGATTTTATCATGTGTGTGCAAATGTAAGAAATTGCTCCGGACAGCAAGTGGTTAAGTAAGAATTCACATGCCTCTTGTATTTAGACAACATTTTCGTATCCTGGAGTTCAAGTTATTGAATTCAGCTCATTGACTGTTAAATTTACACCTTAATCTGGGCATGAGAATCTCAGATAACATCTAAAAACAAGCCTGATCTTTATATCAGCAGGCATGATGTGTTACAAGCCACTAAACAGGAGATGCGGTTTATATCTGTACTGCCATGCCCATTTAGTACAACAAGCAGCTCAGCTATCTGATGCTGGCGCAAAGTATGTTAATCTTATCTCCAGTGCGTGCCTTTGTAGGATAAATTGCATCCTGATCGCCAGGAAAAATAGGGTGAACGCTGACCTAACTGATAAGAAATCATTCCACTTACAGATGTTTCTGTTCATTTACAGCTGAGCACAACCAGGGCTAGATTCAGAAATCATGCTACCGTAAGACACAAAACACCCTTTTATACATTTACAGGCTCTGCCTGATTTATCACCAGGCATGCTGTAATTTTCACTGAGTAAATGAAAGTGTAACTAAAGGCCAGACTTTTTTTTAATGGAGTGGAAGAGAATTAGAACCTCTGTTGGTTTTTTTTTTTAATTGCCGTTTGGTTTTATTGTTTCCTTCTCTTAAATTAATATTAAAGTCAAAAGGTTTTTAAGCTATTTCAAATGCTTATTAAATCACTTACAATGGATGCTGTTTAAACGCAGGATCAGCTTGTTCCTTTGAGTCCTAGGCCTGATATCCTGTTTTAAGGTGACTCCTTTCCCTTGCAGGGTCCAATAGAGCCACCCTTGTGTGTGCTAGTAAGCTGTGAGTCTCCACAACAGCAAAAAGTTTCCCAGCGCACTCACCAGCCAGCATGCAAAAAAAAACCTGTCTAACCGCTAAGGTTAAAAACAGAGGTATTAGATACACGACTTCTGCAGAATATGTGAAAGCCGCACTGCTATGTCAAGGCCCCTCTGTGTAGTGCGGTCCTAAGTCTAACCTATGAGAGTCTCCATCTTGGGGCACATGTAGCAAAAGATAAAATTGGGTGCAGGTTCGCCAGGAGGCAGCCCAACCTCCTTAAAAGTACAGGGACACACAAGGGACCCTGCATATCACAACGGCAGCTGAGACCCTTAGTGTGTCACTGCACCAAATCAGTCAAGGAAAAACAAATGGCAAACGCACACTTAAAAAGTTATAACCAGCTTTAAAGCAAGGTGCACATGGAAGGGCTTCATACAGTACAACCAGCCAGCATGCAAAAAAAAAAAACCTGTCTAACCACTAACTTTTGCTCCACAAACACATAGACACAGGAAGGCAAGACACTACCCTGCTTTCTATTACCCATTCCTTCCTCCTCCCTTCTCCAAGATAGTACATGGGCAGCTGCTGGAACCTGTGCTTTACCCTGTGATCTTGTACTCAACAGGAAGTTCAGGAAAGCCGAGCTGAGCTAGTCGGGGCTGCTATTCAGAAACATGATGACTGTATGTGCTTGGGTATGTAAAGAAATACTTTGCTGGGCAATGTATATTTGTTTGATCTGGATTCATTACTGAAAAAACGCTTGATGGGTTAATACTACTTTAACTTGTCCTATGGTAAATTTGTAATTCAGCCGAATTACATTACTAATATATATCATGAACATTCTTTTACATGAAAAAGCAGTGGCATCAAGAACAGAATGAGATGACAATAAGGTTGCAACAGGGCACTTGCGTCTGATGGGCTCTAGATGTGGAGAAGGGGAGGGGTGGGGGCTGTTAGAATTTTAGGGATTTGGGGAAGAGGAGTTATTAGGATGAGAGTTTTTAGGTACAGGAGGTTATGGGGTGGACATGGTCACTGTAGGAATATATGGTAATTTGGGGATTTTAAATCTGAAGCACTGGGTACGGTGCTGAAGCTCAGGGGCCATAGCTCATCTTGCACCCAGGGTGTTATGCTACATGCTTAGACATTTTTTTAAAGAAATCACAGATGTAAATATCCAATTAAATTAGTTTACCCTTGATGAATACTATTTGTTAAATACATGTCCACAATGAAAAGTCCTATTTCTATTTACTACAGGAAACAGGAACAATTCCCAATACAGTAAGTGACAGTTTCAACGCTGACTGTAAATATCTGTAACCAACACAGAGGACTTTCTCAGCACACAAAGCTCTTTGTGGCTCATTTGTCAACCTTTAGTTATTGCCCACAATGCTTGGCTAAAATAAATTAGGTTACACACAAAAACCAAGGTCAGGATTTTATGAGTATCGAAAGTAAATCCAAATGGTTTCTGAGTAACATCAACCATGTTAAAATTTTGCAATGTATGGTAAAATAAAAGCTCTGGCCACATCTTGCTCAAGGAGATGAGTTCAATGCCAAACACAAACATGGACAAAAGTACTGCTTGACCCATTTCTATTCTCATATAAATGACACGTCATTGACATTTCTTTGTTGGCCCCTAAACTAAAGTATGCATGGGTACCGGTCAGCCAGATATCAGTTCCATAGACTCACAAGATAATGGTTCAGTAATAATCTGGGCTCTCTCAGAAAACCATTCTAGAGCTGACCACACTTGGGAGAGATCTGAGTTCAGAAATAGAGAACTGGACCTTTAGACAATCTCTACTAGGGTTGCACAGATACAAAGTACAGTACTCGGTACAAGTACGAGTACATGTACCGATACTTTTGAGCTCCAAGACTACACTAGAGAAAAATTCAAAAATTAGGAGGCAGCCGTCATTTGTAAGGAGCACACGGAGCTCCTGGGATTTGTACATCTCTGTTTTAATGTACGATTTTGTTCTTATAAATAAAGGGATGCACAGATACCACTTTTGCGAGTACGAGTACTGGTACTTGCCGAGTACTTACAAGTACGAGTACTGATACATTTTTGTTTATTGTCATGCAACAGTTTTTCTAAAACAATACAGACTAATGATTTCAAGACAGTGATGGAGCACCAGAGCCAGGTCCTAGCTGCACCCGCTTGCAACCCTGCTAGTTCTCATGAAAATGCCAAGTATCTGCACTGGTACTCGAAAAGTATCTGTGCATCCCTAATCTCTACCACACCAGACATACATACTGACTAATCAGTAGGGTGATCCCCTTTTACTGTCTATTAGGTGGTGCTACTTGTTTCAGTTTATCTCAGTTAATTTTTAAT